TTACCTTGTAAGTGAAAGTATAATAAATATAATAAAGCATGATAGCCATTTGCTCTTTTCAAAAAAAAAAAAAAAAAAAATAGAAAAAACAAAACAATTAAAATATTATATTTATTATTATTTTTTTTTATAATATTTGAAATTTGAAATATTAATAAAATCATATTTCTATAAATATTTAAATAATATATCATATCTTATAATAATTAAAACTTAGATTAAATAAGATAAAATTATTGAATCTTTAATTTTTTATTTTATTTAACTAATTTGAATTATAAAATAAGTTTTATATGTATTTTATTTATTTATTTTTATCTTTTTTTATTTATTTTATATTTTATTTAATTAGGCTATATAAAAATAAAACTTTTGATTTTTTAATAATTATAAATTAAAAACAGATTAAAACAAAAAAAAATTATATAAAAAAAAACTTTTGATTTAATTTTTATAAAAGTTTATAATTATAACTAATATAATAGATTTCAAATCAAATAAATCTAATAAGAATCAAAATAAAAACATCAAGATTACAAGTAATAAAAATAATAGTATTACATTATGCTAGTAATATATTTTGAGAATTAATTATAATATATACAATATGTCTTATAATTTTTTGAAAATTTTTTAATTTTGTAATTTATCTTATAATTAAATAAAAAAATCATTAAATTTTTATTAAAAAATATTTATTTTTTAAGATTTATTTTGAACTGTTATAAACAAGTATATTTTTTAAAAGATTTTATCAAATTATTTTATAAGAAAAGCTTAGATAAAAAGTTTTTAAAAGATTTAAAGAAAATAGGCTTTATTTTGTATAAAACAAATAAGTTTTCATAATATAATAAAAAAAATATTTTTTATTGACCTTTTAATTACAGAATATCTTTTTTTTCTCTTCAGAAATTCAAGAAAATATATAATTTCAATAATAATTTTGATAAATAAAAATTTGCAATATGTTTGATACCTATTCAAACACTTATGAAATAAATGGTGCTTCAATTGTTATGGAGAATATCAATCTTGTACAATTTGAGATGATACATATTTTTACTTTGTAGCATTAAAACTATAGTGTACAGTTGAATAGAATTACTAAATATAAAACAATAAATTGTCCTTGGTATTAAAAAAGCACGACTACAGCCGATAATTAAAACATCGCCATATTACTCAGTACGAAACGAATCTTGGATACAACACCTAGTATTTCTACAAGGATCTAAATACGCCAACACTTTACCCGATTATAACCGAATTAATTAACTGTTATAAACCTTGAATTATTTTTTTCCCGATTCATTTCACAAAAAACTACGAAAAGTTCAAAAAAAAGTTCAATTTTGTCACCCAAAATTTGCATATTTTTAGACTTCGGATTCCAAATAAAATATCGCTGATAATTTTATATCAAATAGTCCTCATACTTGATCAAATTACCCTAAGGAAATGAGATGAATTGAGAACTTAAATTTTAGTTATTTTTTTTGATTTCTTAATATTTAAGTGACATTCATTGATCAATTTACTCAAACTTCGCCGCTGCCAACAACTTGTAAAGTTTTCATTGAACTTACATCATATAATTCTGTGATAAGTTACAAAAAAGTTGTGAGAATAATTTTCAAATGGCCCTATCAAAGTGACTAATATCCTACCTTCATGGTAAGCTTCTTTCTGATTTTTTCGCTCATCATATGTGATATCTGGATAGAAAGCTCATTAGATCACAAAAGGGTCCATGTAATAATAGTAAGAGAAATAATTACCCTCATCATTTGAATAATAAATCAAGGAGTTACTCGGATTTCGTGGTTTCGGCAAATTAGGAAATAATAACAGTCTACTCTTGTAGATTGCCTCCGGATGATCAGTTCCCTTAAAAGATTTCTCGTTATTTAATTCTAACGATCGTAATCTTTCATTTTCGGCGGCAATGAATTGATTGGAGACTACGTGTTTTTGTGACACGCCCATATGCCATCCCCATGACATTAATGTTCCTTCTAATTCCCTAATATTGGGTCTTAATTTTGGGTCAGCATCCCAACATCGTTCCATCAATTCTATATAACATTTTGGCATTTCAATAACAATTAAAGGTCGAAGTCCGTTACATATATCGAATGCTAATTTCTCATCGTGTGCTCTGTCGCACAATGGCTTCATTCCCGTAGCCACTTCCCACATTACCATACCGAAACTATAGATATCCGAGGCTTGAGTATATTCATCTCCATACAAAACCTCAGGTGCCACGTAGGGCAATAATCCATAGACGCTCACGTCTTCGTGATGTTTAGCTTGTTTATTTGCTGGCCAATATTGTCCTAAGTCTGTTATATATGTAAGACTTTGAGAACCATTAAAATGTCTTAGTATGTTACCGCTATGAAAATTTCTATGAATTAACCCCGCATTATGAATAGTCATCAATCCATGTGCTATATTATAGACAATCCCTAATTTCTTTTCCCAGCTAATATTTCTTGCATTTTTTTCGAGATAATGTCTTAGATCTCCTTCAATAAAATCACATACTATTATATATTCGTGGGTCATTGGATCACGGCTAAATCCGTAGCAACGTGGGATATATTTGCTTTGACAAAAATGTCGAAAAATCTGTGCGATAAATAACGCAATAGAAGTGGTCAGATCCAAGATTATTATACAAAAGGTCAAACATTATGTACTCTTTCCAGTTAATGAACGGTACCTCTTTCCAAAAATGAAAATCCGCTTTGTCGGAATCGTGTAATCTTTTAAGAGATACTTGTTTTTCCCCTTCACGTATCCAACTATTTTTACTGCTATCCCAACACGATTTAGGCCCAAGATCCCATATCGCCTTGTACACAATACCGAAACCACCTCTTCCGACCTCTTTGATCTTGTCAAATTTATCATAGGGTATCCATTCGAAAAACGTCTGGGGTGCTGTTGCATTCAATTGCGTGTCTCTTATGAATAAATCCAATTCACCATTCCCACTCGTCCAATTAGGGAAATCCTCTTTGAATCGTTTCGCCTCGCATGGTTGACACCATCCACGCTGTTTATACTGTTGATTACAAGATGGGCAATACTTTATCGGCAATGGATTGATTCCGATTAAATCCGGGGAGGTATATTTACTTGAAGTGCAACCCATCTATATGTATTCTTTATTATTAAAAACGAAGGTGATTATGAGGAAAATAACATAGACCAACGGTTTGATCGAATTACTTTTTTCCACTAAATTAAATATTTATGAATAATGCTGCCGGAGCATTTAAAAATAAAAAAAAGGATATAATTAAGGGAACAAGGCTTTCATGTTATCGGCATGTACATCAAATTAAATTAACCGCATCTTTGCATATTACCCATATTTATATTTCATTTCTAAAAGTAACAGAAAAATATGCAGTGAAACAACGGTCTGAGTTGAATGCTACTTGATATCTGCAGAACACTCCAATTGCAGTCGTTATGTACTAAGAACATTCTCTCTTTGTTTCTCCTGAATTTCTTCTCGGATATACTCGTGCCATGTTACAATTAGCTCTTCACCCGCATAGCTCACTCAAACACCTGCTTCAATAAACTTACCAATATATCCCTGATCACGTGAATTATATAATAGCTGCTTTCCAAGTCAAGACTAAATTGACTTAACTAAATAAGTTTACAATTGGCTTCTTTCACCCCTTGCAAACAGGTTTGGATGACGCAAAACGCGCATGATTATACGTTTCTTCACACGGTCGAGGGTTGCTATAATAACCATTGGATATTAATTTTAGCATTTTAGTAAAAGGAAAAAAAGAAAGAGAAAAAACGATATAAATCCTCCGATGCAAGATAAAATTCAGGTTACGCCAAATGTTAGATGGCTGAATTCAATGGATTGATTTTCTCAGAAATGATTTGAAGTAATATAGCAATATTAAATCTGTTTTGGGGACACACATAATTGTTTATATATGTGTTATAATGTTTTAATTATATTGTTTATTGTATATTAATTTTAACCTAACATATTCATACTTTTTTTAGAAATCTATTATTATATGAAATTCCATTAAGTACAAAATTCATGCCTATTAGCATATGATATATACTGTATACTGTATATATACTGTATATAAAATTTTTATTTTTATTTATTTTATTTTTATATATTGTATTTAAATTAATAATTATTTATACAATAAATAAATATATACAGTCCTTTCAATAAATAAAGAATCATTTAAAAATTATTATAATTAATTAAAAATAGTTGTTATATAATAAATTTTTTATTTTATTAATAAAAATGATTTTTATATACTAAGTAAACTTGTTTTTTTATAATGAATTATATCTATATTGAAATTTTTATTATTATATTTAACAATTTTTTTATCAAAATTTTGAAATCTACTTGATTATTATCAAAAGATGTTGTTTTTTTTATGATATATATCTTATTATATACAATATCAAATAAAAAAATAATATTTATCTATTGAAAAAATCCTCAATTAAAATAAAATAAAATAAAATATATAAATACAATATTAAATAAAAATATTTTATTATTTTATGAAAAAAATTTTTATTAACTTTTTTATCAATCCAAAAAACAGACATTTTTAAAAGATTTTATTTATATCTTTATAATAATAAAATCTATATATTTTCTTTAATAATATCAATAAAGTAAATAATAACTATTACTTGTTTTTTTTTTAAAAATATTTTTTTGTTTATTTTTATAACTAAATATAAAAAATCTATTTAAAATATTTATGACAAAAACACTTTCTAAAAAAAAACTAACAAAAAAAAATTACTTTTCAAAGATTTTAAAAGATTTAAAAATTTAAAAAAATTTTTTTTTTAGTTTATTTATTATCTTATTAGCTTTTTATTTTTTTTTTCAAATATATATATATATATATTGATTTTTTTAAAGAATTTTACCTATTTTAATGTAACTCTGAATTTTTGATTATATCAAATTCTCCTAAAAAATTATTGGTTATAATTATAGATTAATTGATTATATTAGCTATAAAAAAAGTAAATAAGAATATTATTTTTTTTTTTAAAGTTAAACGGCATTAGATGCAAATTTTTATTGATACTCAATATTATATTACATCAAACATTCTTTGTAATACATTGACTACAACTAAATGCTAACCTATTAACTTTCATCTGATATCCGGAAACCCATCACTTAATGACTTTTCTTTGTGGTATCAGGAGGCTATCACTAGTCCAAATTGGATTATTCGGCTGCCGAATTACAGCCGATTAAATCCAAATT